ACATTTATTTTATAACTTCACTTCTGTAGCTTAATATTACAAAACATACTCAAATAAAGAATTATATAAATTTCGTTCAAACTATAATGAGGGTACAACAAGATGGAATATCAAGAAAAATGTTTAAATAAACAAAAATAATATACCTCATCATGCAGCGAATCTGAAAATTTCACTTTTGATACTTTTGATCTATTTTAAATTAAATACTTTTATCTTTTACTTCTGAGTTGTGTATTTCTCCAATGTGGCTGTTTCTATTCATACTTATAGGAATAAATCAGACCCCTTCTTCCACATCTGCTGATGTGTCATTAATAAATATGAATGAGGTTTGTATTTTTGTGATAAACACAGTGACGGATCCACACTCACACCCACACACACACGCACATATGATGTACCTGAACCTGCAGCTGTTTGAGGCTGTCCGGAGACTTCAGAGGAGGCTGAGGAAGCTGTGAAGCTTCCTGAACTGACGTTCACATGCTGTGTTGTTGTTGTTGTTGTGGAGGTCGACAGGAGAAACGTTGATGTTGATAAAGGCTGATGAGGTGTTGAAATGTTTGAAGCTGTGAACAAGGAAAAATCGGAATAATCACAATCCTGCTTGAAGCAGGTTTTCTGTTTGCATGTCAGTAATAGTGGTTAATGTGTGTTTACAGCAGAACTCATTGAACTAAACCTGTAGTGTAAATATGACACATGTAGGTTATTGAAAGAAAAGTAACTGTGGTCAGTGAGAAGTTCACATCTTCAGAGACATGAAGAAGATTTTTTTACTCACCTCCAGTGATGACAAGCTGAAAATCACATGGTTGTAAAGTTCTGTCCAGTGTGCACCTGTACCATCCTGAATCAGACTTGTTCAGCTGTGTGATGCTCACGTACACAATATCCTTTGACAGTAAATTCGTTTTTACAAATGTAATGCTGTATCTGCCGCTCTGAGCTGTGTAATCAGTTGTTTCAATGAGAATGTTTCCTTCTTCACATTTGTCTTTGCAGAACAACATCCAACTTCCTGGGAAATAAAATTTGCATTCGACTGTGATGTTTCCTCCTTCCACTCCTTCATAGACGAGAGTTTCAGCGTTGGCAAGTCCAGTGTTTCCATCCTGCAGGTCTGTAGAAAATATGAACAATCAGTTACCAACTTCCTGTAAACACTGCATTTGATTTTAAATATTGTATTAAATTAAACTGAAACAGATGATTATTTTCTATAATGGAACAAAACAATTAAAAGTAGTTCATTTAAATTCACTCTCTTTGTATTTTTCATTTGAACAAAACCATCCTGGTTCTTCCTGACATCCGTAGCCATCTGCTGAAGAACAGCTCAGTCAAAAGCTTGAAAACTGACCTCTTATTTGTTTGTAAGATCTTGATTTGCTTTGAGGTTTTTAAAATAGTTCCTTAATATTCAGAGTTTTCATTCCGTTAACATTAAAGCTGTGCTGTTCCTCCTGAACTCAATGATAAGGTTGTTTCCTTACAAGCTCTAAATGTGGTTTAGTGGTTTGGAAAAGAAGGAAGCAGCACTCTGAACACAAACGAGCTGCTGTCGGTCTGAAAGCAGCTGCTAACCAGGTGACGTGTCAAGGTCGGTATCCCCGACAGCATTTGTTTCCCCTACGTCGGGAGCGCGCACTGGGCTTTTAGATCACAAACACCTCTGACAATGACTTTATTACTTCTGAAATTTTGGAGGGTTTAGCTCTTTATACAGTACAGTTAGAGAAGGATACAAATAATTATCAGTCAAAAATATCCTTGGTTTATTGAAATCATCCAACAAACTAAACGGTAACGTAATGGAGGCGGAGTCAACTGGATCCGCTCTCCGTCCACACCGAATGCTCCGACGTAAGGGAAACTAATTCTGTCGGGGATACCTGCCTTGGCACACCTGTCAACTCAAGGAGGCGGGGTATGTCTTCATCTCAACAAACTACGCTGTAATTCTGTCATTTCCGTTGACTGTTAAACCTTTACCAGTATGAATGCAGGCTTTCATCTGCTCTGTGAGAACAGTGGTGGGCATTGACTCACAGACAACCTCAGCTTCTTCTTTCAGCACTATTTCTGATGTAGTGCAAAACCTGCAAACATTTTTATGAATAATAAATAAGAAGAATTTACTCACAGAGGAAGATGAAGCAGAAGAAAATGTGACAGAGTTTCATCTCGAGGTTCTGACGGCTTAATGCTGCTTCTCTTTC